CGAATGTTTCCAATTTTATTTCATTGTCCATTAAAGTGTCATTTTATAATTTTTAGGGTGAGGGTCGTAATTCGTGTTCAATATGAAATTGGGTCTGCTTCTTTTGTATTGTTTGACCATCATGTTAAAGATGTTATTCACCGTGATAATCAATGGCTAATGGAAAATATATCAAAGGTAGCGTTAATTTTTTTAATTGCCAACTCATCTCTTATTTTGTTTTATGATAATAATTTTGTTTAATATATGTATTGAAGAATTGAATAAATTCATTTTAACCCATTAATGCATCCAATTCTTTTTAACATAAAAAGTTGTCTACAAATATGTCCTTCGACGATTTGTACTTTTTTTATGCGTTCCCCCGCGTTTAACGCGAGTTATAATCTAGTACTAATACAAGGTACAAAACAAAAAAGACATGGTCCCAAATAGCACACAAAACTAAATTCCAGGATTAATGACAAAAAACATTGTTGAAAAAAATCATAGAGGAAATGTAGTCAAGACTTGTACCTGAAATGTGTGGAAAAAATGTCAAACCCTTTTCATTGAAAATAACATAAAAAAAAAACTAGTTTTATCAATGGAACATATACATATGAAATACCAAACAAGTAGAATCCATGTCAGTTAGAACTTGGAAGCCATCTGATTCTGATGAGAACCTAATCCAATTTGCCAGTGCAAATAATCAAATATTCAAAAGAAATGATTGCATAACAACTAATGAGAGAGATGAAGGGGAACAGAAAATATACTTATATATATAGCCATTAGCCAGCCATAAAGATCACACAGACACAATGACGCCACCAGTTGAACTCACACTTCTGCAAAATGATATTTTTTAAAGGTCATGACTTTATGATATGTGCTAATTGCCATTTGCAAAATCCAACATAAAACAAAATCAAGTCCAACAAGAATGTAACGTTTAAACACCAATACAAACCCTATTTGGAAATATTCAAGCTGAACATGTTTTCTGCAGCTTATAAGCATTGAATTCCCAGTAAAAAACATCTTCCACAGATTTGCCTGTCACAGAAGATAATTGTATCGTTTATTAGCCATAAGGTCTACTCCCAAACATAAATAGATTACTGGGTATGACTCTCAGTTCAGTACGTTGCTATATGAGTAAGGTTCAACTTGTTAAGGTTGAATAGTTACTAAATTCAGAGGTTCAAGTTTAAATTATATAATAATATTCTCTTAAAGCTCATATATCGCCATAACTTAGCTTACTAAGTGGCTGCTACATTAAAGAGTGCATAAGATCAGCTATTGTCTTATGCAAGATGAGTACCATGATACACTCATTACAGTTCATCCTACTCAAGATTAATACCATTAATTATCAAGAAATACAGTAAATCCTGCAAGATGTTGGACAACGCAGAAGCAGCCTAGTGTAACCAACAACATGTCTAATTTTACTTAAACTGAATCCGGATTCAAATTGATAGTTAAGAAATAAACTAAAGCCTTCTGTAGAACAACAATTGTGCTATCATCCAAGGAGACATTCTAGCAGGTCCAAGAAAGGTGGATGCCCAATAAGAAGACACGTACCAATCATTGCTGCTGATGTTGCTGCTGAGAGTTTGGCGGAGGAGGCATACCAGGACGAGGAGGCCCAAATACAGGAATCTGCCCACCAGGAGGAGGCATACCAGGCCGAGCAGGTGGAGGCGGACCAGGCATACCGGGACGTGGAGCGCCCCCTGGTGGTGGTGGACCCCTCATCATCTGGGGAGGGGGAGCCATAGGCCTCTGCCCATATTGCCCGGGGGGAGGCACCTGATATTGACCAGGAGGCCGTTGAGCAAACTGAGGCGGCATCTGTGGAGGTGGTCCGCGTGGCATCTGAGGCGGAGGACCTTGTCCGGGGTACGGCATCTGTCCAGGTCGAATCACAGGAGCCTGCGGGTAGTTCATCGGCGGAGCAGACATATTCGGAACAGGAGGTCGAGAAATCTGCGGCTGCATCATGCCTGGAGCCGGTCCACCAATTCCCCTAACCGGTCCAGCTAAACCCGGTTGAGCTTGAATCAAAGGCGCAGTTGGGATTCCACGGCCAGCAGCACGACCAAGACCGGGACCGGCCAACGCAGCCGCTCCAACAGCCTTGGCACGGTTCTCATCAGGTGGCGGAGGGCCTTCAACAGTCATGGAAATCACCTCTTCGCCCCTTAAAAGAACGAGACCAAGAGTCCGCCTGTCCTCGCGTTCTTCATTCTTTTTAGCACCTTTTGCAGGGGGGAGCTTACGGAACTCCTCACAATCGCCGATGACGAGATTCATGTGGCGGTCGAAGGCCATGAACTTACCAACTAGCTGACGGCCGTCTTGGATTGTGACCCGCATACGGTAATTTATGAATTGCAGCATCTTCGAACCCTTCGACATCGACATTGTCGTCGATCTGAAGGTTAAGGTATGGCAGATTTCGGGAAGCGATGAGCGCCAAGAGGGTTAGGGTTTTAGAAAGGGGGGAGCAAGTTCAAAAAGGAAATTGGGATATACATACGTTCTTGGTAGAAAAGAGCCCCCACGCTTTTATTCTGATTTATATGGACCTTCTACTTTAACGGTTTTACATTCTAACCCTCTTACTTTTTATATTCACAACCTGTTATTGGTTTTAGTCAAGGTTTTAAATAAGGTTAGACATAACTTTGCGGCAATGTCATATCTCAAGTTTTAACGAACTGTGATGAGTCGCGTCATTTGTATGTGTGTGTGACTTAAGGCGGCAATTTTGTGTGTGTGTGTGTCT